TCCAATGCCTAACAACCCTTTCAGTAAAGAAGTTCTTCCTAACATCCAACGTAAAACACCCCTGGCACAACTTTAGCCCATTCCCCCTCGTCCTGTCACCAAGCACATGGGAGAATAGACCAACCCCCACCTCGCTACAGCCTCCTGTAAGGTATCTGTAGAGAGCAATAAGGTCACCCCTGAGTCTCCTCTTCTCCAGGCTGAACAATCCCAGCTCCCTCAGCCACTCCTCATAAGACTTGTTCTCCTGACTTGATTATACATAGGACAGCACACTGAGAGTTTACTGTAATTACTAAGGATGCCTTCAATGTTTTAATATAACAAACACTTAACTACCCTATTTTTTTCTTCTAAATAAATAAAATAATAAATCTCTCTATATTTTTTAATGAGCTTATAATAGTAGAATGTATCCGCTGAACATTATTCATGGTTTCCTTAATGAAATGAGTCTCCCTCCTGTGGATTTTTCCTTTTTCTTTCTCTTCTCGTTTTAAACTAACAGCATAATGACAGAACCATGGTGGAAGATGAAACTGTAAAACATGCCTGTTCAAAGGCTGCATCATTTACTACTGGGCAGCAAGTTTAGGAGAGGAGTAGTACGAGGAACTCTTGACTCTGCAAGTTCCAGAAGGTGCTCTAGAAATTTAGTTTAATTTTTAATGATGATGTTAACTTTTTTTGTTATGGTATCTGTACAATGAAGAAATCAAAATCAAGACCTACTACATGTATACAGTATACATGTATACATGTATAATGAGACACATTAATTTCATATTGTATGGTGATTGCTAGGCAGCTCAGCACCACCATGCTGCTCCCTCTCCTCAGAAGGACAGGGGGAGCAAATAAGATGAAAAATGTTTATGGGTTGAGACAGGGACAGGGAGATCCCTCACCATGGTCAAAACAGACTCAAGATACCAAGACTTTTTTTTTTTTTTTTTTTTTTTTTTTTGCCTGTGGTTAACTAACTAGAGAAGTGAGAACTAAAAGCAAACCAAAGCCACCTTCTGCTACCTCTTCCCCCCAGGTGGCCCTGGGGAATCGGGAATGAGGGTTGTGGTAAATTCATAACTCTTTTTCTCTGTTGTCACTTCATCTTCATTTTCTTCCTCTGCTTCAGCATGGAGTCCCTCCCATGGGATACCATCCTTCCCAAACTGACCCAACTTGGGTTTCCATGGACTGGAGTTCTTCATGAACTGCTCCAACATTGGTCCTTACCACAGGTGCAGTCATTCAGGAGAGGAAGCTTGAGAATGGGTCCTCCGCAGGCAGCAGCTCCCGCCACACCTCCACTCCACTCACCACTGCAGCAGAGATATCTGGTCCATTGTGGGCTGCAGGAGGATAGGCTTGCTGAATTGCTGCAGGCGTGGACCCCCTCCTTCCCCTCCTAATTCCCTAACCTTGGTGTCTGCAGGGTTGTTTCTTTCATGTATTTTCTCAGTCCTGTCCCCCATTTGCCATTGACCAGCAGTTTGTTTGTTTGTTTGTTTGTTTGTTTTTCCCTTCCTTACTCTACTGTCACAGGGGCATAGCCAGTGTCACTCATCAGCACAGCTTTGTGGGTCCCTTTTGGAACTGGTCATAACTATCTCTTATCTAAGCTAATACATACCTAAGGGAGGGAAAAAAAAAAAAAAAAAAAAAAGAGTGCTGTTTTACTAAGAATCTCATTTAAATAATATATATATATTATATACATATATATATATTTTAAGCAGACTCTTTCATTGAAAAAAAAAGGTCTCTAATATCACATTTTAGTGAAAATAATAAAATACACTATTGTATTTATCTGCATCAGTCACCAGTTTTTTGGCAATACAAAAATTAACAGATGGAAGAATCTTTCACAAAAGGGCCCTCTAACCTGCTCAGTTGGATGCTGTTACTTAGAGCTGTTACTGTGAAAAAAAATCTCGTATGTGTCTATGTAAATTTCGTATGTGTCTATGTAACATTTTTCATTTCAGTGTCTAGTTGTCTTGTCTTGTCAATACTGAAAAGACAGCTCAATACTTGCATATATCTTCTAGACAAAATAAATAAATAAATAAATAAATAAATAAATAAATAAATAAATGGTTAACTTTTACCAAAAGAAAAATAGCTAAAACTACTTAGTGTCTACTAATATTTGTAGCTTTTTCATGGAAAGGTAATAGTATTTTTAGTATGAGAAAATATTTTATCCAGAAGTTCACTAGTGTTATTAAATAAAATCATTGAATGATGTTAATTTTTTAATAAAAATATTAAAATCATTCATCAGCTTTAACTTTGGCTTCAAGAATTAATTCCTTATCATTGTATTACAATGATGAATGTATAACAACTCCAAAACTTATTCAGTTTGTATGAGTATGTGACTTCTTGTGCAGAAATCACTCTTTATGTCTTAGAAATACATTGGGTAGTGTAGTCTAATTAAATTACTCTACAAACATATCATGTAGTAACATGATATTGTAACATATACTATAGTAACTAAGTATAGTAACATATACTAGATGCACAGGGCTTCCCCATACTACTGGATTTGAAGAGTAAATATGACTGCAGGTATGTGGAAGCATGAGCATTTCTATGTATATTCTTCCAGTATTAATGATATAAGGACAATCTGTAACATGAATGTGTTGGTAAAAATGGTTGGCTTGAGCAGCACAAAGTCTTGAAACAAAAGGAAAATTTCCTCATTAACTGGAAATACGTTTGTGAAATATGTTTTTTTGACTTATGTACTGTACATACAATGAAACAGATAACAAGCAGTAGGTGTAGTGAGTATATCGATTTACCTTTTAGATATCATAGTGATGAGAGCTAATCTTATTTTTTTTTTTTTTTTGGTAAAACATGAAAATTTTGTGTAAACTACTAATGAATCAGTAATATCACCACTGTTTGAAGATGTTTGGCTTTAATAGTAGTCACACCTCTTTTCACAAAGGCATTTTAGTGATTATTAGTTGCATTTTCTGAAATGTAATTTGCTTTGAGCTGCACATTTTCTGCATTATTAATATATGTTACATTCAATCTACTGCTCACCATTTCTGGTGTTGACAGAATTTCTTTGCTTTACTGCAATTGTATTTTTGAGGTGATAGATTCACTAGCATTGCAATTACAACCATGGAATTGTATGAATAACTTTAAGATGTGATAAAATGATTTTCTTATATTGCTTAATGACAATACTGTCTATGCAGTCTACTAAATTACTATTAAGGGATATTTTAAATCACTTCAATAAATCTCAAAATTATTTTCAAATATCACTTAATGCTTTCCTGTTGACATAACAAATGAACCATTTCAAATTTCATTGAAAGCTCTTTAGTATATGTCACCAGACTCTTTTGGAATAGTTTCAAAATGTGACAAATTGCAGTAAATCATTCTGAGACATCCCAGCACCACTTCTACAATTATAAAGTATTATGAGATGCTTTGTAAATCACTATAGATTACTTATCAACTCATGTTTTTGTCACATAGCAGAAACGACAGAAATAAAAATCTCAGTGAAACATTCCCTTTTCCATCATATCATTTTGTTTAACAGTTTCTCATGTTGAAACATTATGACTCCATAATGAGGAGAAGAGTTAGTTTCTAATGAATTTGTCAGAAATTTGGAATGAATGATGTGCTATGAGAGTTCTTATGGAAGAACTGACCACGTTATTGTTGCCCACACAACAGTATTGGCAGTCTTCACGCACAAAACAGCTATGACCAAAGGGGTGGAAAATACTTTTCTAAATTATGCAGCTAGTGAAAACCCATTGGAAAGCATTTATAATTTCTAAATATAATTTAAAAATTGCTCATATTTATATTTTTCACATCTGGACAACGTATGCAATACAGACTGAGAAATACTTTTATCATCCTGATATTTTTTTTTTTGAACTAGCTAATATTACATAACAACTTGTCACTGGATTCCAAGTATGACTTACTATTGCTCAATGCAAAAGATTAAATGATTTAGTATAAAGATGTGTGTAAAATATCTTGAAGCTAAATACCCAAAATAAGAAATATTATAAAGTATAATACATAGCAATCCTAGGATTTCCACTCATAGAATCATAGAATGGCTCAGGTTGGAATGGACCTTAAAGATCATCTAACTCTAAACCCCCACTCAAAGATAATACATGAGATTCACTAGTGATACACACTTTAAAATAAATAAACAAATAAATAAATAATAAATTCTGTGTCTATTTTTATTTTTTTTTCATCTGCCCACAATTTAATATACATGCTTGTTTTGTCTTGAACTAAAAGTCTGATTCAAAGGTTAAAACCAACCAAATCCTATCCATGTTACTGACATTGTCATTAACAATGTCATTGATGACAAAGTTATTAAAGAACCAATTTAAAAAAAATATTTTTGAAAATGTTGTGGCTATATTAGGTGGCAAATTTGGTTTCTTCCAGACTAGAAAGTATCTCTTCAGATAAGTGAACACTCATAGTGAAAGGAATTAGCAGAGAATTATACAATATTACACAATACAAATAGAAGGATATACACATATATCCATTTTCTGAAAAGAGAAACCTGAGCGAATGGCAATACTAGAATTCAGTACTAAAATACTAGCAGAACTGAAATGGCAGGCACAGTATGTAGCTTGTATGCTAGACAAGCTTTATTGCACAGCTCTAAAGTGTATTTCATTTTTGACCTGTGAACCCTTTCTTTTCCACTCCCAAGACTCTCATGAGCACAGATTATCAGTCATGCAGAAATATATTCTGTTTTCATGATATAGACAAATGTTCACTGAAGATTAAATTAAGAACCAAACTCACTCCATGTGTGACCTAGTACAAATGTCAACACAAATTGCTAGTGGAAAAAGTCTGGAGCACTGAACAGCCATGACATCTAGTTTCTTAAATTAATGTCTGGGTTTTTGTTTTTTAAATTCATTTTCTCTTCTACTTTCTGTTAGCAAGAGCGGAGAATTCTGCCAGTGTTTTCGACAGGAAATTTCAGAGGTAAGAAAGAGCGCACACACACACACACACACACACACACAAAAAAAAAAAAAAAAGACGACAAAGACGACATTTCTTTCTCTACACCTGGGAGCCACTCTTACCTCTTAGAGAAAAAAGAGGCCTTCCAGTTTCAGTTTGCTATTACAGACTTCTAACTAGTCCGTATGAATGGACCATTCTCTGGCATTTGTGACTTTGGAAATGAATATTTATTGAATTAAACTTCTATCAAAAGTGTTTCTTTAGACTACAGGAAGAGGAATGTTTGCTCTCTACAAAATACATCATGCACTTTCTTTCAGAAATAATTTGTACTGTGAAAAACTACTGCAAGAGAAGGGGAGACATCAGATCAATGGCTGATTTTAAATATCTTCTGGTAGCATAAATATGAGGGAATGGAGATAGAGTAGGCAAAAGGTCTTGTAGACCATCAAATTTTATTGAAAAAAATGGAAAAGTGAGTGTTGTAAGCATTTTTGTTGTTCTTTTAAGTTGTTAAATAGTGAAAGCTCTGTGTTATCAGGTTCATTCCAACAATGACAGATTTCAGCATGGACCATGTACATGCATTTTACTCTAGTCCATTAGACATACTTGATGTCTATTTTTTGTTTACTAACATCAATGAAACAGTTGTCTCTGGAAATCCCTTCTCCCGTCATTTTGTTCATACTATATTTGTAGTGACATCTCCCATGGATTCTTTTTGTTGTTTGTTGTTGTTATTTTGTTTTGTTTCATTTTGGTTCTGTGGAGTTAGTTATCCTCAGATACTAGCCATTGGATAAAAAAAAAAATAATAATAATTTCACTTTTCACTATTCTTTTATAAAGCAAGAGCATATGATTTCTTCAAAGCAGTCAACATTTGTCAGCTTTTCATTCTCTCATACTCCTTTTAAGCTACTCCTTAAGTAGGTGTTCTGTGGGAAATGGGGACCCTTGCCAGGATTCCCTATTTAAGCTTAACTGAATTCACAAATTATTCCATTTGTTTGCTAGTCAAACAAAGACCAATGAATACAATATGGATAAAATAACAATGAACATAGGCTGAAATAATATAACTTGACAGTTTTTGGAAGAAACATAAAAGAAAGATTATGTTTCAGGATTAGTTCTGTTTATTACCTTAAATTATTTTGGTGAAGAATTAAACAGACACTGGTGAAATTCACAACTGGAATGAGTGGTAAAGGTGAATCAAGACAGAAAACAGACAAAAATGTTGGATTAGAAATGTGTATAAGTAAAGCAATAAAAATAAATTTTATTCTGAGAAAGTGAACTATCTAAAGGCTCCCTTTCATTACAGAAAATGTCAGAAAATCATAAATGGTGAAAAAAAAAAAAAAAAAGAAAAAAAAAACAGAGAGCATCTAGCAAATATATATATATATATATATAATATATTATATTATATATAATATAATATAATATATATTATTATTGTTATATTATATATAATATAATATATTATATTATATAATATATTATAATTATAATATATATTATATTATATTATATTATATTATTATTATATTATATTATATTATATTATATTATATTATCTTATATTATATTATATTGTATTGTATTGTATTGTATTGTATTATATTATATATATTATATTATATTATATTATATTTATATATTGTGGAAAATGTGTTGGGTCTAGTTATCAGGAATAAATTTCCTAAGCTTTTTATCTAAGGAGAAAGCTAGCTGTTTGCCATAATATATTGCAGTAGTTTTACCCTGCTGGGTAGCTGAACTCTACCACACTCCTCCTTCTCAAAGGAAAAGGGGGACAAAATATGATTGAAAGGGCTTAAGGGTTGAGATAAGGAGAAGGAGATCAGTCAATAATTATTGTTACAGGTAAAACAGACTCAGCATAGGGAGATTAATATAATTGATTGCCTATCACTAGCAGACTAGAACAATGAAAAAATAAAGCAATCTAAAACCAACTTTCACCCTCCATCTTCCCCTTGAGTGGTGCAGGGAAACAAAGAATGGGGACTGCAGTCAGTCCCTAACTCTTTGTCTCTGCCAGTCCGTCAGGGTCACTCTCTGCCCCTGGTCCAGCGTGGGGTCCCTCCCATGGTATGCTATCCTTCTTGAAGTAATCTTGTATGGGCTTCTCACAGACAGCAGCTCTTTGAGAATTGTTCAAATGTGGGTCCGTACCATGTGGTCTATCCAACAGGAGGTCTATCCAACACAGGTCCCACATAGGAGGCAGCTCCCACCTGATCACCTGCTCCTGAGTCAGATCACAATGGAGAGGACTTCATTGGTTACAGGTCCTCCCCAGTACCTGCTCTTGCAGGGGCTCTCCATGGTCCACAGTCTCCTTCAAGCCAGATTCACCTGCTCTACCAGGGGCTTCTCCATGAGCTGTTCCTCTGGTATCCCATGGGCTACAGGGGAACAGCCCATTCCACCAAGGTCCTCTTCATGGGCTGCAAGAGAACTTCTACTATGGTGCCCAGAGCACCTCATCCCCTTTCATCTTTATTGGCCTTGTTGTGTGCAGGATTATTTCTCACTCCTCTCTCTCCCACCTGCTGTATCTCACAGAGAAACATCCAATATCACTCTTTGGCTCTGCTTTGGCCAGCAGCAGGTCCCTTTTGGAGCCAAATGCAGCTGGCTCTTTTCTGACATGGATCGGCTTCTAGACTCATCACAGAGGCCAGTGCTGAAGCTTCCCCTGCTACCAAGCCCTTGTCATGTAAACTCAACACATGTATCAAGGTTTTGTCTAGTCTGTGGTATTCATGTCTAGTAGCAAAGGTGATATTCTTATGAGTATGATCTTCTGAGAGACTTAAAATGTGAAGCTTTTGCCCACTGGCATATTGCTTAGCTCAGAAAAGTTTGCACATGTGCAGAGCACTATTATGTAAGAGGTCAAAACTCTACTGAATTTTTGATTCATTTTAATAGACTACCTTTTTATTAGAGTCCTCAAAGTGCATGGAAAATTCCAAAAGGTGACAAGTTAAATGCTTTGAGTCTATTACCTATGCAAAATTAATTTTCAGATGACCTGATAGATTAAACCAAGTTGAATTAGTTAGGCTTAACTGACAATATTTCCCATTACAAGATCTTAGTCTCCCTCATTCTGTTAACAGTAACATATGGACTGCCCTGAATATTGTGTTCTTATCTTCTGCCTCATGTAGAATTATAACCAAACTACTTCTAACTAAACCAAAAGTATCCTTAAACCAATATTCTTCTTTAACTGTTCTATAGCCACTACACAACAATTTGCTACAGATTCAGAAACATGTTTCTCATGTCCACTATTAATTCTGATAACACAGTGACAGAATTTGTCTACAGCATAACCCTTAAAAAAGGTAAAATATATTGATACCCTGGGTATCTTAAACTTCTAGTGTCTGAATCTGTGCCTCAAATTAGAAATATTTGTACTCATATGTGTCTCATGACTGACAGGAGATTAATAAGATATCATAAATTATAATCAAAGGTGAAAATTATGAAAAATGTCAAACAAAACCTAAAGAAGTTAGGAATTAAAATAGTTTAACAACTACATGTCTGTAAAATAAAGCTTAAAAATATAGAAAAACTTATGCTTAGCTTACTATGAAGTCTTGGGTGTTTGTTTCAAATTTTTTATTTATTTACTTACTTATTCAGTGTTTATTTGTGTATTTCCCTTATGTTATTGGATGGAATATTTAAAAAGTACCGAGGACT